TTATTATCATTGGTTTACCACAACTGAATGTTTCGGTCACAGAGTTGTTCCCGCCGTGAGTTATGACCACATCTACTAATGGCAACACTTTTGTCTGCGGAACAGACTTTTCGCCCCACATATTGTCAGCCAATTCATATGTGTCTCCAAAAACACCTTTAGATACAATAAACTTGTGCTGACTTTTACTGAGAATAGACACCAATCTCTTCATTAGATCCACATTTGCTGAACCCATAGAACCCAATGAGAGATAAATTAATTTACACTTTTCGACATTTCTATCGCGAAATTTATCGGGAATTTTGAATTCTTGTTCTCCTTTTCTCATAAAAGTTTCGATTTTTATCCATTTCTCAGGTATGGGTCGGATGTCTGTGTAATCGAGTTCTTCAGGATATCCATAGATATTAAGATAAGGCGACTCTAAAATTGATTTATTCGCAGTGTGTAAGGGATGGCCCTCTTCTTCCATCCATTTATTGTATTTAATTATTTGGGATTTGAAAATATTTTTTTTCAATTCATTAAATGGAGACCATTTCTGTCGATCACTATCTGAAGGATATCCTAAATAAATATAACCAATATTTTAGTTTACAGTAAATTCATTTATTTAACATGGTTAAACTATGTATGTGCACAAAACTTATAACTTTATGCAAATTCATTCAAATTAACATTGTAAAAATTAACCAAAACAACACATAGATATTATAGATTACAATGTGTGTCATAGTAAATTGTATTGCACATGCAACATTGACGTACCTGACCATCCCGGTGGTGTCCTATCATCCCTTATACCAGACAGAGGTTGAGAACTACTGATATGAATCCAGGGTTTGTTTGAATGAATGATTGTCGGAGAGCCGGCGAAGTCGTCGATGATATACACATCGGGATTATATTTGGCTATAATTGTTTTCAGTTTCGGTTCATTGGCTCTCATTTTGTCGATCAAATCGGCAAATATCGGTGTTTCGCACATCATTTCCATCGATTCTTCGGGCGTTAAGTCCGACAGAAGTCCCGACGCGAGTAGACTTTTGGCCGCGTTTTCTGCGGGAAGTTTTCCCGTCTCGTCATTGAGTATCTCTTCGATAAAACCAAACGGCGATAACTTTCCCGCAAATGATTGGTTAACAGCGAAGACAATACGGTGTCCGCGACTCAGCAGTACTTCAGCCAAACCTATGCACGCATTCACTGAACCGACCGCTTCGAGCGGTGCCAACAAAATGGTTAACTTTTTTACCATATTGTTAGTGATTTGTTATAACTTTTGTTTAAATATAACTATAATTTGTTAGCAAATAATTTCCTTATTTTGAATACTTATGAATGTGTATGAAATGTGAAAATTATTTTATACCAAATGATAAGAAATAAAAATAATGATTGGGAAGACACGTGATCATATAATGAATATAAATTTAGTATTTTGGTCGATTAGGTACATGGTCAACAAATTGATAAAACTAAATTATAAAACTTTATGTAGTTTTTATTATCATCTCTTAGCAGAAACACTTGATAAAATTATCACAAAATGTCTTATAATTGGCCATCACTATGGAGTATAAACCAATGACTAAAGTTATTTGTGTTAAGAATAAAATAATTATCAATTTCATATTAAAATGTATTATTTTAACTAAATTTTATATTAAAATTAAATTTAATAATTTCTTTAAATAAACATAATAACAGAAAATTGTGATATAATAATTAACAAAATAATGCGATAAAATAAAACAATTAAATTTGTATTATACAATTTTAGTTAAATAGATTTTAAAATTTTAATTTGCGTAAAATAACATTTTTCGTTAATCTATGTTAAATATAAAATGTTCAAAATATGAAATAAAATTCAAACATAAAGATTACTTGATTCCAAGTATGCGATAAATGTAGGAAATCTTAAAAACTTATTGAATCAAATTTTCAATATTTTCGGCCGCTTTTTGAAGGCTATTGGAGTTAAGCATACGTTTTGAAGCGACGGATAAATTGTGTTTCAATTCCTTATCATTCAATAGTTTTTCAATAGCGTTAAGCAATTCCTGCTCTGAAACGGTTTGCGGATTAAGTCTAATCCCAAATCCCTTTTCATGAACTCTCTGTGCGTTATCCCATTGATCACCACCCAATGGCATTACAATCATTGGTTTGCCGTAACTAAATGTTTCGGTCACAGAGTTGTTCCCGCCGTGAGTTATGACCACATCTACTAATGGCAACACTTTTGTCTGCGGAACTGAGT